TCCTCGCAAGGAAGGCCCGCAGCCTCCTTGGGAGGGATCCCGGTGGGAAAAAAGCGCCCCCGCGCAGGCGTCTGGATGGGGCGCAGCTCAGCCTCTGCCTGCCAGCCTTTCCCGGGTCTGGGTCCCTCAATGCAGCGTGGCGCCCCCCCCAGCAATTCCACACAATGGGCAGGAAGGTCGCCCAGGCTTGGGGGCGGCCTTGCAGCACAGGGGCCCTCGTGGCCTCAGGATCGGGCGCAGTAGCAAAATAATGAGCGCCCCTCGGAGGGATCCAGGCCCACAGGAGGGGGCTGCTTCCCCCAGACATCCGGTTCCCGCTGCCTTTCCTGCCTCCCCGCTCGCTGCCCCCCAGGCCCGCGGAGCGCAAATTGCAAGAGACGAGGCGGCCGAGCGACGGACAATCACGCTTTATTAAATGGCTACCATAGAAGTTTGCCTCCTGGGCCGGCGGGCGAGACACCCTCCTGCCTCGCAGGCGCAGCCGGGTAAGGAAGGCTGGACGTTAGTAGAAAGAACGGCAACTCAGGGAGGTTAAGTTCGGCGCGGAGACTCGGCGAGACCCACCGCCGTCACACGAATGCCGGAGCAGCTCGCTCTCTGCATTCCAATCACGGCACTTCCAGCCTATACAGAAGTATTGGAAGAAATCAGAAATACGACAAGGTTTCCCATTGTGGGAGGAGGAGAAAAACGGTCCCAAGATACCGCACAACATCTTGGTGGAATAGTTACGGGATCAGCTCTCGCTTTTACTGGTGATCTGCAATTCGGGGTGCTAAACGGAGGAGAGGAGGAGGAGGAGGAGACGAATGCGAGAAATGGAGACATGGAGGAGCAACCACCATACGTGGCCTTGTTGGGAGCCGTGGGAGAAGACAGACTCCTGCCAAGGGCAGAATTACCGCATTGGCAATACAGAACAGGCAACTGTTACAAAACGTCAGGATTCTTCTGGAAAACCATTGTGCTGTTGTGTTTTGTTTTGCTTTGTGGAGATTGTTTTGCTGAAAAGCAACTTCCGTTGCGTCTCTGCAGAACCGCGAAACATACTTGATGGCGTTTGTTCAGGTCCAACCGACAGATAAGGCACTAAGCTGTGAGGACAGACCCCGTGCCGCGTTTGCCTCCAAAAGACTTGCAGGGTTTTGTGGTTAGTTTAAGTGCTCCGAGTGCACAAATCATCGCAAGAGACTTAAAATCAGAATAGTGTTTGCTCACTACGGCCCGCTCCCCCCAACAATAAATTGCTATCATCTAATGAAGGCAGTGATTGTTCGGTATATGCCACAATTGTGTGTAAGAAAATAATTCAATTTAGGAAGGCACAAATAAGAGCTGATCCCCATTCCTTTTCCGCAATACTCGGACTCTAACTGGGAGAGAGGAAATATTGATTTGTCCAAGAAGTGGCGATTTCAGCGCATGATTCTGAGGTCTGAGGTTTCTTCTCCTGCAGCTCGCACACTTCTTAGCGGCCTCAGGCTGGCAAGCCGAAGCCTATCACTCAAACTATTAAGAGTTAACACAGCTATCCAGAATAAATGGTTGATTCGTGCACCCGTAGGAAAGCTTGGCAACAGAGCAAGTTAGATGGAGGAGTTTGCATGTTGAGGCGGCTTTGTGTTCTGCTGGTTCATGAGGACACGCTCCAAACTGCATTAAAAAAAAAAAAAAAGCAGAGGTTAGCAAAAACAATAGCAAATG